AACGATATTGAGTATTTCGACCTTAAACTTAGCATATATATATATATATATATATATATATATATATATATATATATAAAAGTGAACATAGAAGTAAACACTTAGAGGCGACAGTCTGTTTCATGCTAGATGCAATCGTCAGGCCTATATATATATATATATATATATATATATATATATATATATATATATATAGTTTAACAGCTAAATAGTCCTAATCGTGTAACAGCATAATTGTCCATCCCACAAAATGGTTGATATCTAAAAAAAAAAAAATCACGAAACTAATTGAGTCTCTTTTTTCCATCTTTGTAAGAATCTCAGAAAAACCCTTCGAGCCATTCAGCTATAAAGAGAACAGGTTAAAATCATTTTGTGTCAGTTCAACTCTCTTCTCAACTGAGTAATTCAGGCCTTCAGCAATCGTACCAACATTCATACTCTGACTTCCATCTTCAAATCCATTCATGAACCATCCAGAGAACGGTGAATAAGTTTTAAAAAAGAGGGAACAGTAGAGAGGGAAACTGGGTGAGAAGGTTACAACAGGAAGAATGATCATCATTTCAACTTAGAGCTAAAGAGATCAATTAGAAAAGATCCAACTTAATTCATAATAGGTTTGGCACATGAGAGAGGAGTGACAGTCCAAAGAATAATGAAAAAAGACTTGAAAATGAAATCGTGCGTGAAACCTGTGAAGCAACTTGTTACCCCAGGACAGAAAGTTAGAAGATCACTTTGAACAATTTTGAAAATTATCCTGGAATAATATATATATATATATATATATATATATGAACTTAATTTCAATCCTTCATGATCTTCCAATCCTTAGCTATGATTAATTAATGATGAACATGTCATTTTCGTTTATGATCGATTTCATCACGATTCTTCTGTTAAAATTGAAGAGTAATTATACATTCTTATTGCTCAAAGTAGAGTCCAATAGTGAAAAAAAAAATCGGAAAAATCCAGTAAGATGTCTTTAATCATTTCTAAGATTCAACGGTTCAGAGCTTAATGGCGTTACACGATTTGGACAATTTTGCTGCTACCCCAGCATATATATATATATATATATATATATATATATATATATATATATATATATATATATATTAAAGACTATCAAACAGTTATTTTTAATTAATAATATTTTGTTCTGTCTTCTGACATAGAGCTCTCCCTGGATCTATAGATTCCATACGGATTACCATATTGTATCATTACTATATATATATATATATATATATATATATATATATATATATATATATATATATATATATGTCTGAGTGTGTCTGTGTGTGAAATATAATTTTACTGTTTATGAAAAAAAAAAAAAACAGGTATAGCAACTGAAACACGTTTGCCCACTAAAAATAACGTGTAGAGTGAGAAAAAGAATTACTGCTGTTTACTTTTCGGTTAGGAAAACAAAGCTTGCAGATTTCGGAGCAATCCCAAGCAGAAGTGTTCCTTAAATAAGTAAAACCTTCCTTAAATAATAGTGTTCCTTAAATAAGTAAAATCTTGTTCTATTAATAGAAACTCTGGCGGCCATACTGGCTGCTGCACGCTTCGACTAAAGGAGTAGTTTCTTTGATGGTAAAAGTGGATACAGGTTTTTTTCCCGACGGGTGGCACAGTTTTTATTTAGTGGGAGTCACGATCTAGGCCGGTTGTTAATCATTCCACTGTTTAAGAAAATAAAAAAGAACAACAGAACCCCCCCGCAAAAAAAAACAAACAAACAAAAATACAAAAACAAAACAGGAATAGCATCTTAAAGTCGTTTAACCCCTAAAAATAACATTTTATA